CATTGTCGTCTTTGTGGGTGAATTGTTTTGTTTTTCAGGAAAACATTCATATAGATGTCAGCTGCTAATGTCAGCAGTTACAACAGGTGGCTAAGAGGCACTTATATCACTCACAGCAGAAAGGTCATAACCCACAGTGCTCTGTAATTTGTTCACTTTAATGCAAATGTACCCACTCACAAGTCTAAAATATAAGAGATTTTTTTAAAATCTTTATCTCAAGAAACGATTCATGCTTCCAACAAACGTAAATGTGGTTTCGCTGTTTCAAATGCATCTAAGATTCTCTGCGTTTCAGAAACTTACAGTACGATAGAAATTGTATGAAAAGGCAAACACCTTACTTACTGTCATTACGATGGTCATATATATAAAGCAATACAGATATCCTATAAATATCCATGCAGGCACTTCCTGACTTTTTTGTTGGTGCTTATCAAATAAAATTGATAAAGGGGATGGAAACAGTATTTGCAGTGAAATAGAAGGAACACACAAGACGGCAAATCCAAGAACTAACTTGTTAAGATGGCATATTGAATTATTATCAGATAATAACGATAACATACATACTCATGCGGATTACAAGTGAATTAAAAGTATACATAATTACTGCCTTCCACCTTTTTAGTGGTTTTCTTTACTCAGTTACACAGAATTTGTGATGAATATCTTGTCTCATCACAGAATCATTTTATATCACGATACCACTCAAACTGTAATAGTATCATCTTGTGAGATTTTCTGATTCTCACGCATACTATAATTTATGTAATGAGGGTGACAGCATATCCGAGACATACAGACAGAGATCTGCTATATATAAATCTGACTTTCATTCACTAAATTACCATTTTGATGGTGTCAGAGAAAAGAATGATGGAATACCAGATGTAGCTCTGTCGTGATGGTGCTTCTAAATTCAACAGGGGTGATTTTTCTTTTTTTTCATTCTGGATTAAATGTTGTCTTTCTACTGGGCATTTTCTATCAGAGGCTACTGTCTCATTTATTGCATACTGGCATCTCACTGCGTGTGTGATGCTTTTAAACTAATAAAACAAAATTCACTTTATTTATTTTAGTGGCCAAGTAAAGGCAGCTGAACTATACTTCCATAACAGGATATAAAGAAATGTTCTTGTATATGTTTTTGAATTTGTAATCTGTTTTGACAGCAGCGATGCAGTGGTTTACTCTTTATGTGTAGGCCGCCAGGCACCTGCTTTATCCTACAGTACACATAAACCCTACAGCATTTGCCACCCACCTTGCAACCCTTGAAATGTTCATTCCTTGTTCATGCACACATACACACACGGACTCACTTTCCTTTCCCCTCCTTTCTGAATGTCACTCATTCAGGCCAGTACCCCCCCTCCCCACCTCCCTCCTCCACCTACCACCCCCACCCCAGTCCTCCCCCCTCGCTCCCTTGGAGACCAGCAAGAAGTGGGACTTTAATTAGCTACGATAATTAGTCTCACTCGCACACAGACCCCAAACTGTGCAGCATAACACCTTGTCGCCCCCCGTCAGAATCGAGTTTCTCTTAAGCAGCGTTTGATTGGATCGAGGCCATCGTGCTTTATTTGATTACAAATAAAGCTGCATTCAGGAATATTTAGGGAGCAGGAGCAGTGGCACACAAACATTGTTGATTTATTTAGTTGTTTTAC